TGTTTAATCAAAATGAATCAATTTAGGACCTAAATGAAAGTTACAGTTACACACGAAATGTTCCACTTTTATCTCAGTAATCAGTCGCTTTAGTTCTGGCAAATCTCTGCTTCAAGGTCGCAGTGCAGTTCAAACACCCCTGGCTAACGCACATTAATCTACAACTTGAAGGTGACTTTTTTGTTTAAAGTCTCCGTTTTAGTGAGTCAGAGGGAATTCAAGATGAGATCAGAGCGCCTGGACGGCCCCTTACGACGTGCCGCTCATCTTTGGGTTCCAGGTGGCTGCTGGGGCCTCTCGTCGTCAGACTCCCTGAAGGAAAGGACCCGGCAAATCAAGCTAAAAGAAATTACAACAGCGTCGTCTTTAGATCACCTTCTCAGAGGGCTTGTTTACTCAACTTTTATTATTTATTTGTTAAACCACTGCTCAAAGAGAAGGCTTTAGGGAAAAGTTTATCCTCCTGCCAAACTCTTTTATGATTCTCTGTAAACAGTTCTGGTGGAATAAGCTTTCGCTCAGATGCTGGCTAACGCTACCTGCTGTGAGTGAGATGATTATAGAGAGCTGTTGGGCTAAACAGTTCCCGGAAATGCTGAGATGGGGAGCAGATTCTTGGTGACCGATTTAGATATTGATGGTTTAGTTTGTAGAGACGGGAAGATTAAATCTCACTGAACAGTTTATATAACAGTTTGAACAGTTTGTGTTCAAACTGTTCAACATTTGAACATTGTTCAAACTGTTCAACATTTGAACATTGTGCATTGCTAATGTTTCAGGTCTTCTGTAGCAGATGATGAATATTCTGCTTAGTATTTTATTAGTATGTTTATATCCATCTATACTGGCTCATCTTTGCAGGGTGGCATTTTTGCAAATCTGGAAAATAATGCTGCATGATTTTTTGTTTTATTTTTACAAATCGTATTTTTTTAACAACTTAATTAAAGATGTTTCTTGATCTAACTCTTGTTTGCGTTACATATATCTGAAGAGCTTCCATTGATTCAAATTTTATTTCAGCTGTTTGCTTAAATGGTTTTGTGATACACCAACTGTGAATAGGGAATATGATATTTTGGATATCTAAAACATACATTTTTAATATTTATAGGTGTACATATTAAATACAAAATGTCTTGCCATAATCCAAGAAACAGCTTTGTTTGTTTGTTTATATGAGACAGATACTGCAGTTTGGACACTCGTTTTTTTATTATTATTATTTCTATCACGTTTTAGGTTTGACTAAAATAAATTTTGACATTTAAATGTTATTTTTATATGGTTCATGTTTTCTTTTTTTGAGTGAATTCCTCTAAGATTTACTTAAAATTACGTTGCAGACCATGTTTCGTTTGCTTGGTCTGCGTTCACATGTGCTTGAATGAACTTTGGTTTATTTGAAGCGAACTGAACGGATATAATGAGAAAGATTTAAGACTACGGTTTTGAATTTTCTTCCAACAGAACAATGATCCTAACCATAGAAGCAAAGCTACAGTGAAATGTATAAAAATGGCCAAGTCAAAGTCCACTGTAATTTAGCTGTTTGAAAGCAAAAACTGCAAATGTTTTGTTTTGCGTACATAATACAAATAAATTCCAGGGACTTTAATATTGTAATTAGTTCAAAATTGCATGATTTGCCTTCCATGTTATAATTATGTGTGACTTTATTGCACAAATCGCAGTAAAACACATCACTTCTAAAAGTTAAAGGCTTATTATTTCTTTTGCAAAGCACTGCATTTTCTTAATACTACACATGTGCAATGCTCTGTATCTTTAGTTGGTTCTGCTGTCTGACTTGGAGAGGATTTTATTTTCAGATTGTCAGTATTTTAATGCTTTTATGCCTCATCTTAGTTTGTACTTTTAGTGCCTGCAGCTACACTATTACTGAGCATCAGGCGAACTTTAAGAATCCCAGGCTGGTCCTATTATTGGAGGGTGAATGGTTATCTGTAATTGCAGAGAGTTATCAGGGATGCAGACAAGGGGTGACATGGAGAATTTCTCCCTACAGTTGCACAAGAAATGACTCCACTTAGAAAGATAATTAGAGAGTGGAAGTAAAGACGGCCTGCCGGTTTCTTTGAGGTTTTTCCTCCCCATCTGTCACTCAAGTTTTCCAAACTGCCGCTAGATTTCTCATTGCCTTGTGAGAAACGTTGCTCCTTTCCAGTGACCTGAGCTCAGGAGCAGCAGTTCAGGCTGTGCTGACAAGGTGTTAAATGTTTTGTAATTACCCTCTCTCCTCAGATGAGCAGCTTCCTGGATTTACTTCCTCAGTTATTGGTCTTTAAGGAGAATGTGACACGTTTATGGGGAGCGTGAGGAAAGTAGCATCCCAAACAATCACGGTGGGCGCTGGAATTAAATTGAAAATTTGTAATCTAAAGCGCACTAACTCTGTTGGATATAGGAAAAACCTTAATCTTCCAGAGAGCGTCCCTAAGGAAATCAGTCTATTGACTTTTTTTGGTTTGTTGCCTCAATCTAAGTTGCACACTTTGTACTCAACTGTGCTTTAGTTTTTCCTCAAGGTTGAGCAATTTAATCTTTAAAAACAATGTTCTCAACTTTAATTTATTTCTGTTTCTCAGTAGCTTTCATCACGTTTGACTGTTTTTCACTGCTGCATCATATAAGAAGTGTTAAATCCATACATGTTTTAGCGTTTTTAACACATGATCAGCAAAGTTTGGCTTATTTGACAAAAGAACTTCTTTCAATGTGAAACTGAAACATGATTTCTACAAAATAGTGACAGTTATTTGGCCACATTCTGTTGAATTCAGTAAATAAAACTTAGATACTCTCAGTATTTCATCCGTCGTTATTCAAAGTAACCAGGAGAGGGAAAAGAGGCTCCTTCGATAGAGCACTAGGCTGTTATCAGGTGTCGTTGTTTGTTCAATAAAAACTGAACACAAAATGTTCAGCAAAGGCATCTGAGCCTCTGTTATGCTTGCAGAAGCTGTCACCACATAATATTGTGGTGCCACTCTCTCAATTTCATTCACCAATGAACAAAGAGACCAACAGCAGTTCCTCCCAATGCAAAATGAGCAAAAATGTCAAGCGTCTGACTTCAAAGTCAACTTGAAGCGTCTGAAGCGTTTTTGACACGAAACGTGTTCAGAGTGAACGCAGCAATATGCTGCATCAAGCGTCTTTACAAGCCTTTTTGCTTTTGTTCTGATATTGAAGCGTTTGGGTCACGTAACCCGTCTACTTCCTGAACAGTTTGATGGTTTTGCATTTCCACTTTTCAAACTATTACATAACTGAACAAATGAGCAAAGTACATTCAAGAGGCTGACCACTTTTAAGGTTAACACTTAAAGTGGCGTGAGAAAACTAGAAAATGACCATCATCAACTGCTGCAATTATTGCACATTCTGTATTTGGACCTTTAGTTTGTCGTCTGAAAAATCCACATTCATCTCTATGAAAGTTATTGTCCACAAACTCATCACTCATACATATTTGTTTTTTTTGGTCTGAAAATTAGCATTGAACCTTGTGGCAACACGAGATAATAAAAAAGAAGAAGAAACTTATTGCCTGCAGCAACGACATCCACTGGATAAATTAAGATTAGTTTTGCTATGAGGAAAAAACACAGATCAAAGTTTTTGTATAAATCCTGCGGCAGTGTAATTCACAGCAAATTTCATGCCAGTTATTTGAATAATTATCAGTCCAACTGACCATCAATAATAAACAAAAATCAGTCTAGATACTGGCTGAGAGCTGCAGTTACTGAGAGGATGTTGAGACTTTATCTTTATTCATCAGCTCACCTGAGAAAACAGAGGAATTAACCTCTTGTCAACAAGATTTTGTCGCTGAATTCTGCTCCTTCCTTTGTTCACTGCTTTAAAATGGTAAACATGTCCAGCCTTGTTTAAAGAAACTCAACCATTCTGAACACCAGAGGGTTTGTGTCTGAACTGACTTTTATCTCCAAGATTGGACTCGAACTGGCTCTGAAACATTCCCACTTGCAATATTTTGTAGGAAAGCATTTGAGTTTCCAACAAAACCACACGAGTCTCTCTTCAGCTGAGATTTTACAGACGTTCTGTAAAATCGCTCATGCTTCTGTTGCCAGAAAGTGGGACTTTTTAATAGTGTTACGGTATTTACACTAACATTCATGCCAAAAATGTGTTGCATAATCTAAAAGCTGTTACTAAAAACCTTTTGCTTCTGTGTGTAAAACATTATGTGTCAGAAAACTACAAGTCAAAAGTTTGGAGCTGAATCTAATCACAAAGTTGTTGCAATACTTTAAAATTGCTGCTGATTGATGCTCTCCATCCCTTCTGATATATCCTGAAATATTTTGCAAAAGAAAAAACTAGAAGGTCACTTCAAAGCTTTGAAAATCTGGGAGCTTTTCTGCAATTTGTCCTTCTGCAAAGAACTGATGTGGTGGCATGAAAATGAATGTTACCCACTATTTTCAGAGTTTTATTCATATGTATAATTGTGTGGATTATTTTCCTTCCGCTTCACAGTTGCACACTATTTTGTGTTGGACTAAAAATAAAAACACAACTAAAAAATATTTGAATTTGTGGCTGCAGTACGGTAAAAAAGAAAAAAGTCCAGTGGATGTATGAGAACAAAGATTTATATTGAGAATAAAATAATAATTTGGGAATAGTCATATTAATAATATTAAACCAATAAAGAAATTTTATGTTTTTATGTTTTTGATGTTCTTTTTCTTTAGAAATGACCCTTTATTATTTTAAGGGAACCTAATTACAACCCCCACATGTGAAATCTATGGCCTGGTTTCATTTTCAGAGTGAATCCTCTGCAAATGAGAGTTGAGTATTTTGGACCAGAGAGGAAACGTGTTGGAGTTTTCACTATTGAGGCCTGAAGGCTGAAAGAATTGTACGTCTTTTCCAGAAGAGGCAGAATTTTATCTTTAGAGCTCAACAGCCTACAACTTTTTGTTTTTGTCCATCAGGGTCTTCTGCTCTTCTCTGACTACCAGGCGTCGACCTTTGACCTATCAAAGCTTCCCAGCCACAGGTTTGAGGCCATGGATCACTTTGCGAAGTGCTTCCTGATCCTGCGTCTGGAGGGCAGCCGGGTGGAGGGAGGCCTTCAGAGAGCCCAGGGCGACGGCCGCGAGTGGAGAGCGGTGCGCGTGGACCTGGTGTCGCCGCCGGCGGATCGCTTCGCCTTCACGATGCTCGGCTGGACCGGCTCCCGGGTAAGGAAGCTTGTCACTGACGGTTTGGGTGGAATAAAGCTGCCATCACCCTTTAGACGTGATTATTTTCTAATATATCAAATGTTAGCCTTTCATTAGGGTAAAAATCTAAATATTCATTTCTGAATTACGTAAAACAAATGTTGACTTTAAGCTGCTAATTCCCTCTTTCACAGATGTTTGAGAGAGACTTACGAAGGTTTGCTCGACTGGAACGGCAGATGCTTCTGGACAACCATGCCTTGTATGACAAAACAAAGGTACTGTTATTTTTTTTAGGGCACATTAGAATATACTTCCAATGTAAAACTTAATTTTTTTCATGTTTCAAAGGTCATATTTCTTGCTGGAAAGTTGAAAATTTTTTTCTCTTTTTGTCATAAAACAAATATGAATTTCTATTTTAAAGGAAAAAAACGTTGATTATAATAGCAGCCATTTAAAAAAGACTCAGACATTTTAAACAAAGTTCAAATGTTCAAACGTCTGCAGCCAACGTGAATCTACATGCTGCTCCAGGTTTTGAATTAATTTAGATTTATGCAAAGTGTGTTGGTTTTTTCAGATCTTTTAGGATTCTTTTCGTTGTCAGATGTTTTTTTTTAATGTGATTTCTTGATTGTACAGGTGTAGCAATATTCAGGCCTGGGTGTCGCTAATGAAATTTAACCAAAAAATGTGTTTAATTGCATTTAATTCATGATCTCATCAATCATAAAAATTGATTTCAGTATATTATGTTAGTCTGGTATCAGTTTATTTGGTGATGTAAAATATGTAAGTATTGACAAAGGCAGCTAGAAAACCGTCTCTGCTTTCTTTGCGGCCGTGAACTGAAACAGTTCATGTCTGCATGGTGACTTCAAAGACGCCAACATTTGGCTTATTATTCTGTAAACTGACGGGAGAACAACCAAATTCACTGGAACCATCAATCTCACTGACAGCCATCTTCCAGCCTGGGCTTTTTTCCTGAGCTTGCGACTATTCATCACCCGACTTATTTCCGATGCATGGAGCAGACAGGCGAGCCGATCGGGTTTTGAGTCGAGTGGGACAAGGGTGTTAGGTGGATCAGTGTGCAGATCGACAGGGAAGAAACCCTGTCACTGCAGCGTCCCGTCAGCTGCTCCCCGGGGACGGAGGTCGGAGTCCCCGGGATCTGCGGGCGGCAGCTCCCTGACAGATATTATACACGGCCAGCCAACTCAGATGGTGTTTATTCAAATGCAAGGGCAGAGCTGCGCCTGCTGACAGTGCAGTCACCCGTGCACTGGGGTGGATAAGAGGGTAAAACACACAAACAATCTTTCCTTTCCTTCACGTTTTGCTGAGTTCTTTACTTTTTCTGGTGCATTCGCCACTCTCCTGTCACTTCTTCTCTCTGAACCGTCAAGGTCAACAGAAAGCTTCACATGTTGCACTCACAAAGCTCTTCACGACCCGTTTCTCATTCTGATCCCAGCATCACAGCCATAATTAACCTAATGAAGATCAATTAAGTGTCTCTGCGTCTGTCCTTCCTCTGCCTTCACACAACATGGCTCATGTTCTTTCGTTCTCACTTTGCCTTGGGCAAAAGGGACTTTTATTTTTATTTTTTTTGTCCATACAGGCTGCAGTTAATTGGTTGAACGTATGGCTTAGGACAACGTGATAATAGGGCTTTCATCTTTTCCTTGTCCGTTCTAATTGGCCGTCAGTTTTGAAGGGACTTCTGCGTTGCTTGTGTGACTGGTGTCACAGAAACAGGGGGAGCGATGAGGACTTATGTCTGATTAAAAGGGAAACATCTCAGCTAAGGACCAAAGGCGGTCGTTTAGAGGACTTTAATCATCCGGGTCTCTGGGAGACTCTCAGTGGACACCAGCTGGTCTCTGTCTTATTATAAAATGCTTTAAAAAAGATTAGAAGTCTACAGCATCCTAATGATCTCCACTCAATTATGAACAGACTCCGGGGAAGTCCTTGAACCGCCCTGGGAGTGTCGCACAGAAACACGCCGACTTGGGGTTCGTACATGTCAAATAGATTCTTGATGTTACACGTTCACCGAGAGTCAGTTTCACTGGCAGAGAATGTGGTTATTGGCCATTGTCGAAACATAACCCAAACCAATTACGAAAAATAACACGATAACACAAAACTTTATGAGCGTAAGGTGATGGATGTTGACAGCTTTACTCATAAAGGTTCACATTATACAATATTCACACTGGTGTTGAGAGTACGAGCAGAAAAGCTACTTATTGTGTGGGGGGATAATAGAAAGCAGTACGTCTTAGTAAGGCTGGGAATGGTTGCCACAGTGTAACAGGACCATTGTAGATAAAAAAAAAAAGAAGCAAATACATTTGAGTTTGAAAAATCAAAACTTGGCTAGAAAAAAACCCAAAAAACTTTCAGATTCATCATTGAAATTTTCCAGTGAAAAATCACATTTTTCTGACTTTCCAGTGTCTAAAATTTTTGACATTTAAATTTTCAAATTTTTTGACGTTAACCCTCAAAAACATTTCTGAGTATTTTCTTAGAAATTTTGAGATGAAGCTCTGAAATCAGTGAGAAAAAAAACATGGAAATGTCTGAGTTTAAGAAGTCCAAAATTTATGAGATTTTGTAGAAATTTTCTGATATTAATCTAAAAATGTAGTTTTTTGGTGGAAATGTACTCATTTTTTAAAAATGATCTATAATGGTTCTAATGGTTGAATGTATTTCACTTTTCTATGTTTATTGACTTATTTTTTATTCCAAGAATCCTAAGAAATTATCAGAATTAAAAACTCTCTTGAAACTAAAGGAAATTGTCATAATTAGTCCTTTATACACATGTGCAATAAAAAACCTGAGAGTTTTCTCTGCGATTTATAACTAAAGGGACATAGAGATGCACTACATTTATTTGTTCAGTGAAAATTTTCGTGCCTCAATAGTGAATAGTATTGATAATTAGACCAAACGATATTTCCTGAGCAGCTCAGCTGATGAACTGAAGTCTGTGATGTTAGCTTGGGTGGTGGACCGTCCAATGGAGGCTGCTGTGTGTGTGTGTGTGTGTGTGTGTGTGTGTGTGTGTGTGTGTGTGTGTGTGTGTGTGTGTGTCCTCTGCTGTAACTCTGAAGGTTTGTGATAATTAATATGTGTTGTGGGTTTGATGAATGAGGACAGGTGGAGGATTTCATCATTCCTAGACAGACTGACTCCCTCCCTGGGCAGTAGGGATCCATGACCCTGCCCAGAACCTCTAAAAACACACACACACACACACCTCTGAACGTGGCTGGATCTACCCTTGAAACTTGCTGCGTACGTGTGTGAACGATCAGCGATGCGACTCCGCCATCGCCTCGATCAAAACCCAGGCACTCTTGTTAAAGATGTTTGAGCTCATTAAATTCGCCGTCATTTGTTCCGACTGTTCCTGCATCCTTTCACACACCGAATGCACGGAGTGCATTGAACGCAGTGAATGAGGGTGTGTGCATGTGTGTCTTTCTGTGCAGGTAATTACTCTACGTCATGTGTAGGAGTGTGATTAATGAAGCTCCGGTCAAAAGGCTGTGAGCGTAGATGTCCTGGCTTTGGTCCTGAAGCACACGTTCAGATATGAAAGGTTCATTTATATTTTCTTTCTTTTTCCGTCGACATCCTCCAGCTCTGCGGTTCAGCTTCAAACGAACCATCAAACACGAATAGAAAACTGCTGAAACGACAGCCAGGGATCAAGTCAGAACAGCGACTCAGGCAGACGGAGGAAAGTTGTTTTGGCTTTCTCAAACTGTTTTGGACCCCCTGCCCATCATCCAGGTCCCTCACCGCCCACCAGCAGAGAATATGCACTCAATATTACTATCACTATTGTTGCTGTTTTGATTTTTATGGTTGTGTCTGTATTTATCATCAAAAATAATTTCCCAGAGAACAAAAAAGCCACGTGAATAGAAATTATTTTTACAGGCATCTACGAAAAATGCAATGAACATCCAACTTACGATCGGAAAGCCGAACAGTAGCCAGTCAGAGTGGGAAAAAAATAAATAAAAACCACCATTTTAATTGTTAAATCTTTCACAAAATGACCAGATAAAAGATGTACAACAATGCCAGTTCAAATATTACATACATGTGACACACATGAAAATGACTGTATGCAAACATTTCAATAAACTCTACAAAACCATAATACAAAAACACACTGGCAATAATCTACTTAAAATACTCAGTGATTCTAAAAATCTCAACAGTCTAAGTTACAAACCAGCCACCAAAATACAGCAAAATAACTCTTTTCTTAGTAGCCAAGACAAAATAAAAATAAAAAAATCATAAATATTGGTTGTTATGGAAATAGAAACACAAAAAGGACATTTTTAATTAATCACAAACTGAAACTTCAGGAGCCGCTGGAGATTCTTTTCGAGGAATTTTCATTTACTAAATGTAAATTATTCTGCAGGTTGGTCCCCCAATTTTTGATGAAAGTCATAAAATCTTTAATTTAAAAGTGCTGATAATTTTAAGTTAATTCGCTTATTCTCAGGGAACTTCAGTCGTAGTACTTCTGTGTCGAGCACAGGGCTAAAAGCTAAATTTAATTCAACTCTCTCTGTCAAATTATCGTATCTTTGATTTGAAGTTCCAGCATGCGGCTCCCCTCCTCCACCGCCCTTCCAGCAGTGGATGAGTGGACAATGGCGGGGCAATTGCACTGGGCTTTGGGGAGCAGCCGTTCTGAAAGTTCTCCCCTCGCCCCCCAGCCGGCCGGTTGGTGCTCACAGGTGGCGTCTGCGTTGAGGACAGCAGGCCCGCCTGGAAGGAGGGCCTCGGTCTGCGAGCTGAGAGCGAGGGAGGAGAAGTTTAATTTAGCTGTTGTTGGCATGTGGACTCTAAGGGGTGTCACAAGCACACTTCCTGACAGACAAGTCAGCCAAAATGGGGGTTATATTGAGGCTTCTGCCCTCTAAATACCCTCCTGGCATGTGAGGAGAGATGGGAAAAGTGCCATTCAGACAGAGACATGAGGTTATATTTTGACACCATGCCCTGCAAAAGCTAAAAATGTTTTAAGTTATTGCAAAAAGTGAAAAAAATATTTATTCTCTGGCATTGTGGAACTCAAAATTGTTGTCTGATTGTCGATATTTACCTTCACAAGAAGAACATGGAGGCTTTTGTCATGATGTTTCACTTGGTTCATTGCTGGCTTAAAGACATGTGACCTGGATGATGCACGAAATTCAGACGGGGTTCAGGAAGT